GGACAAATTTATTGTAGTCTAGTTTTCCGTTTAAGGTGGGCCACTTTCTTCAAGCTATCCATATAACCTATCATTATCAATGAATACACATGGGGTTCCAATATCTAAGAGTTCAAAGTGATAAATGAATGGCCATATCAGGAGAGGATAAAAACAGAAAATTCAATTTTCACTGATCTTAGTTTTGGGAGTTGTAAGCCACAAATGGTGAAAAATTTTTTAGTGCTGTTGTATAAGTCTTTTGCAAATGGGAAAAAAGTTTTGAAATTACTGTAAATTAAACCAGGTGGTCTGGCCATATTTTTCTGTATGGGATTTGCTGATTTGTAAGGTCTACACTTATGACTTTTAATACTGAATGTTGGCGATGCTGTCAGAAAGGCATGATGCAGTTGCTGTGGCGCTACAGAGATAAGAATGATACAGCAGGTAGATTACAGCAACTTCCATTAGCCACTTCCTGATTCCCCTAATTCCTACACCTACTGCTACTATACCATGCTACCCTGCTCCTCAGCCAGTACTATCTGGACTCTGGACAAACAGCAAGTGAGCAACTTTGGCATCACCCACCCAACCAGTGGCAGACAAATGTTGAATATCTCACATATGTTTGGGGTTCAATGGAGTCACGCTGGCTGCAGCAAGAGTTCCCCCAGTTTCATACCTCGTGCTTACCTGAGACACGCCCTCAGACAACTCTCTCAATTCCCTCTATCTGCAGCACATATGTCAAAGTAAGTAATTATCAACTTATTATTCTNCAAGCCAAAAGGAAAAATGGTTTTCCACTTATCGTGTTATCGGTGCTGCATATATGCTGAAAAAAGTGAAAAAACAGCATAACTTCCCTAAATGTCACCCGATCATGCTGATTTTCGAACTTGACCTGCATATTATGAATATTCATCAGTTCTGTAAATTTGAATTCAAAATGTAAAACGGTATTCCACTTATCGTGTTATCGCTGAGTGCAGACAGACGCAGACGCAGACAGACGCAGATGATGTCTATATGTACAGACACATCTGTGTCTGTACATAAAAATTAAAACAAATACCATTGCTTTTGACCTAACCTCCCTTACCAATTGTTCACTTTTTATTTGAACATTGGATATGTGTGTGCTGATTGATCTATGTTCATATTACAATAAATGGATAGCACTTTGTTCATAAACAACTAGTATGATATAAAAGCAAGTCTGTTCCCAGTGACTTCTAAAATCATATTTAAATTGGAATACCTCAGGCTTTGTATTTATAGAAAACATGTGACTTATTACCAAAGTGTTTGCACCACATTTTCTATAATTGAAGAGAAATGTTAAATTAGTAACAATATTTTTGAATTCATACAAAATCTTGGCAACTGAATCAAAAATGGAACCTATGACCTATGGAATGATTGAAATATAACCCAATTTAGATGTTACCTAACCTCCATAATGAAAAATTATTGTATTATGTTTACATGTGGATATTTCTTAAAATACAGTAATGGTTTGGGTTAAAATTCTTCTGCTACTATCTGAATACCTCTTCATTAAAATAATGTAAAAAGTTTTCCAGTTTTGCAAAGTTCATATTTCTGCATTTCTCATTTTGGAATTGTACCCTTTCTTCTGGAATGACCGAGATGCTATAATGTTAATTAGCATTGTTCACCACCTCCCCTTCTCTTTATATTATAACAACAAACTTTTTATCCAATTACATCTAGCTCAGCATGCACTCCTAATTTATATACTTTAATTTACTATGAATAGATGTCAGAGAAGTCTTTATTGTGACACAACAAAAAATAAAACTTGTTTTCAACTTATCAAGGAAATAGTCACAACCACTTCAAAAACATGCTTAACCTCAAAGCCACAAAATACCCAAAAGCTTGTGTTAGTCCGAATGAAGTGAAAACAATGATTAAAAAATGGGAGGGACATAAGTGCAAGTGTAATCTCTGCAACGTATACAGTTAATGATCAATTTGCACTGAAATGATGATGTCTCAATGTAAGCTTAATTAATTACCCACTATAATAATGTATCATGCTATGTCAGCTGCTAGGCCTTAGTTTCCTGTTGTAATTTCAATCAACAGAAGTAGTTAGAAACAATAGTAGTAAACACTGTATCATTATTTAATTTATTCTGTCGGTGAATAGCTACTCAGCTAATGTTTGTACATTTATTCTTTCTGACATGAAATAAACTATATTGTATTGTTTTGTATTGGGACGGGGGATATCTAAAAAACACCATAACAGTAATTAAAGCTAAACACTGTAAAGCATAACTGGGGCAACAAACAAAATAGAACAAACGTCAATTCTCAGTATCTTTTTTATAAGTTCCAAAATGAGTCACCAATCCTTTTATTGCATTTATGGTGACAAGCTGTATTTCAGTCCTACCATTCTTTTCTGTAGGTTTGAGAATTGTAAGTATCTGGTTTACTTTAAATTGCCATTACTGCGGCAGTGCCCAAAATAGGGTTTTCTTCAAGTTCGATGCAATACTACATACATAATGCTTATAATCACCACCAATTTTAATGTTGTACTGCACATGATAGGTATTTAGAAATGAGACTTACAAAAGTCTTCAGGCCCATTGAAGTTAAAAGGCATACTTTGAAAATACCATGATGAAAAAAAATTAAATTTTCCATACACACAAATACACACACACACACACACAAACTCCTTTAACAACAACAAAAAAGTACCGGTATACGATCAGACTGGTTTTAAAATGCCAGTTGTATCGAAGTCATAAAATTTTCAGTATTGAAAGTTTGAAGACGGCAATATTTTTCCATGAAATAGGGTATCTGCACTGCATATTACGTATGTATATATATATATGTACTGGTAAGAATAATACATACTGAAAAAAAAAACCATAACTTTTAAAAAAACTCTGATGAAGCTGGTTTTGAAATCCAACCTGTACCTAAGTCACATTTGTCAGTCCTATGAAAGGTGTTATCTTTATGCCATATATTATATGTTGAAAAATAAATCAAAAAGCACATAAATTCTAGAAAAATGATCCCATCAAGCCAATTTCCAGACTCATCCTGAATATTGATACTATTGATCAGTCCTTCAGTCCTGCAAGCTTGAAGACAACAATTAAGCCTGCCAATTTTCCTTGAAATGTGTTATCTGTATAGCATATATTACAGTGGCAGATTTAGAGGGAGGGGTCAGGGGGGTCCTGAACCCCCCCTTACAATTTCTGGTCTCCTCTTGAAATTAGAATTTTGACTAGCTGAATCATATGCATGGCACCGTTCGCCCTCTAAAATACCAGAATTTTTCAGTGCCCTCTGAAAGGCCCAAAACCCCGTGCCAAGTGTGTGTGTGTATATATGTTGCACGGGGGGGGGGG